GTCACTTAAATTATAAAACAGGACTTAATAGTAATAGTATGTCAAGTGATTGTTTTTCACAAAGCAAACCAAAGCATAATGTTGCTCATTTAAATTTTTTATTTATTGCTCAGGGGGCTTCCATAGCCTTGGCAGCTCATGACAAGAGCCTAGGGTGATTACTGATGCCATAAACAAGAGTGTCAGTTTGTTAAGTCAACAACAGGAGTCACTGTGCACTTACTCCTCATGTAGGATCTTTGTCCTTAGTGTGCTGTACATTGAGATTTAATGCTATAACTAGTACTCAAACAGTATTTTTCACTATGTTTCTGTGTGGGAGCAAACTGTTGAAATCTTTACTTAATGTATGCTAAACTGATCTTCTGTATATAAAGAGAAACGAAAATGAATCTTGATGTGATTGGAAGGGGAGAGGGAGAGAGAAAGGGGAGGGTTGCGGGTGGGAGGGACGTTATGGGGGGGGAGCCATTGTAATCCATAAGCTGTACTTTGGAAATTTATATTCATTAAATAAAAGTTTAAAAAAATTTTTTTATTTATTGATTTTATTTATTTGAAAGGCAGAGAGATAGAGATCTCATACCTGCTAGGTCACTTTCCAAATGCTGTATTCCTTGCTACCTCCTAGGGTGTGCATGAGGAAGAAGCTGGAATTGGGAATGGAGGCAGGATTCAAACCTAGGAATTCCAGTATGGGAATGTGGCATCCCAAATAGCACTTTCATTTCTAACCCAAATACTCACCTTCCCCAGATGTTGTGTGTGTGTGTGTGTGTGTGTGTGTGTGTATATATATATATATATATTTCCTTTGGTTTATTTCTTTTTTTTTTTTTTTTTAATTTTTTTGACAGGCAGAGTGGACAGTGAGAGAGACAGAGAAAGGTCTTCCTTTTTCCGTTGGTTCACCCCTCAAGTGGCCGCGACGCCTGGCGCTGCGCCAGTCTGAAGCCAGGAGCCAGGTGCTTCCTCCTGGTCTCCCATGTAGGTGCAGGGCCCAAGGACCTGGGCCATCCTCCACTGCACTCCCGGGCCATAGCAGAGAGCTGGACTGGAAGAGGGGCAACTGGGACAGAATCTGGCGCCTCCACAGTGCCGGCGCCACAGGCAGAGGATTAGTGTAGTGAGCCACAGTGCCGGTCCTGGTTTATTTCTTTAAGTTTTTTAAAATGGCAGAATGAGAGAGGGTAGAGCGGGGAGAGAGAGAGAGAAAGAAAGAAGAAAATACATTACACCAGCTGGTTTATTTAAGTGCTTCCAAAAACCAGGGGGTGGCAGGGACCTAAGCTTTAGAGCTATCACTGCCTCCCAGGATGTCCATTGGAAGCAGAACGAGGAATTGAAACCACACACTTCAATATATGATGCCGGCATCCCAAGTGGTGTCTTAACTGCTGCTCCACAAGCATACCTCTAATGCATATTGTGGATGACATTGTTGTGTAGCCGGTAAAGCTGTTGCCAGCGATGCCAGCATCTTACGTGAGTGCCAATTCGACTCCTGGATGTTTCTCTCTCTATCCAGCTCCCTGCTAATGTGCTTGGGAAGGCTGTGGAAGATGTTCCAACTGCTTTGAGCCCTCCCATCCATGTAGGAGACCAGGATGGAGTTCCAGGCCCTGGCTATTATGGCTATCTGGGGAGTGAACCAGTAGATGGAGGATCTTCCTCTCTCTGTCTCTTCTTCTCTTCTCTAACTTTGACTTTCAAAATAAGTAAATAAAATTTTAAAAAGTTATATATATATTTTGATAATCTAATTGACAAGTGAACTGTAAGCTTTTTTTGTTGTAATGTCTTAATGTCTGGCTTTGGGAATTCTATTTGGCCAAGTAAAATTATGGATATATATAAGTACACACACACATGCACACAAATGGAGAATATTAGAACTAATTGCATATCAGGATTAATTGCTTTGTATGTCATGGCTTTTTCTCTTATGGAAAATAATGATGAAGTACCTGCTTTATATGGTGTACTGTGTGATGATACATATTTTCACTATGTATGGGATATGGTATAATTAAGAAAATTTAGATAGGTTTCTGTGTACTGAGTTGGAAAGATATTCAAATGTATTATTACTGGGGGAAAAAACTCAGAGCACTATGATCTTACTTGTGTAAAGAAAAGAAAGGTGGGATATCACATGAGTGAGTGTGTGTGCATGCACACTTATGTAAGCAGATAGTTTCTGAGAAGATACTAAACGGAGTTCATGGTGATAACTCTGGATGTAATAATGGGTCAGTGAAACTTGGCGTGATTCTGAGAGACCGACTTTCTTTCTTTCTTTCTTTCCTTTCTTTCTTTCTTTCTTTCTTTCTTTCTTTCTTTCTTTCTTTCTTTCTTTCTTTCTTTCTTTCTTTCTTTCTCTCTCTCTCTCTCTCTCTCTCTCTCTCTCTCCCTCCCTCCCTCCCTCCCTCCCTCCCTCTCTCCCTCTCTCTCTCACACACACACACACACACACACACACATACTTTCTTTCCTCTCCTCTCCTCCCCTCCCCTCTCTCTCCTCTCTCCTCTTCTCTTCTCTTCCATTGATTTTTTTATTTAAACGGCAGAGTCAGAGAGAGAGAGAGAGATCTGCTGGTTCATTCCTGAAATGACTGCAACCACCTGGGGCTGGGCCAGGTAAAAGTCAGGAGCCTGGAACTGTATCTGGGTATCCTAAGTGGATGCAGGGGCCCAAGTACTTGGGCATCTGCTGCTGCTTTTCCCAGGAGCATTAGTGGGGAGCTGGATCAGAAGTGGATCAGCCAGGATTCAAACTGGCACCCATATGGGATGCCAGCATTACAGGTGGCTGTGTAACCTGTTATGCCACAACACTGGCTCCAAGACTTTTACTTTCTATTGTACTTTTCAGTTCTTTTTGAAGTTTCTGCCATATTGTTAATTTTTGTTTTTTAATGAAAAAAAATCTAAGGTAATGTATTAATGAATTATGCAAAATATTTTATATTTTTATTTGTACATTTATGGTTTTCCAGATACATTTTTATAACAATGGCAACATATTCTGATGCTAAATTAAAACTTCCACAAAGCTATAAGAAAAAAATCCATTAAAGAAAATGGGCAAGGAGACATTCAAACAGGAAGTTCAGGTATCCAGCAACTGCATAAAAAAATGATCAGTTGGCACTTGTAACTGTGACTGGCAGCTGAAAGAGCAGTGATATAAAATTTTACACCCATCTTTGTGATGGAAGCATGTGATCGAGTAATTATTTTCAAAATTTTGATTATATCAGGGCACTAGAATGAGACAGGATTAGGAAGGCTACTGTGAGTACTTATACCTTATTTCTTTAAAAATAAAAGCATGGGGGCTAGCACTGTGGTATGGTGGGCAAAACCGCCGCCTACAGTACTGGCATCCCATATGGGTGCCGGTTTGAGTCCTGGCTGCTCCACTTCTGATCCAGCTCTCTGCAATGGCATGGGAAAACAGTGGAAGAAGGCCCAAGTCCTTGGGCCCCTGCACCCGCATGGGATACCCAGAAGAAGCTCCTGGCTCCTCGCTCCTGACTCCTGGCTCTGGATCGGTAACACAACGGCTGTTGTGGCCGTCTGGGAAGTAAACCAGCAGATGGAAGACCTCTATCTCTCTGCCTCTGCCTCTCTAACTTTGCCTTTCAAATAAAATGAATGATTTTTTTTTTAAGATTTATTTATTTGAGAGGTAGAGTTATAGACAGTGAAAGAGAGAGAGACAGGTCTTCCTTCCGTTGGTTCACTCCCCAAATGGCCACAGTGGCCAGAGCTGTGCCGATCCAAAGCCAGGAGCCAGGAGCTTCTTCTAGGTCTCCCACATGGGTGTAGGGGCTCAAGCACCTGGTCCATCTTCCACTGCTTTCCCAGGCCATAGCAGAGATTTGGATTGGAAGAGGAGCAGCCAGGACGAGAACTGGTACCCATATGGGATGCCGGCACCACAGGCGGGGACTTAACCCACTGCGCTGCAGTGCCGCCCCAATAAATTTTTAAAATAAATAAATAAAATAAAGGACAGGGGCAGGTGTTATGGGCCAATGAGTTAAACCACATTTTGAGACAGATCTCTGCATCTCATGTCTGAGTGCTTGTTCTAGTCTTGTTTACTCTGCTTCCAGTCCAGCTTCCTGCTAAGGCATTGTGGGAAGCAGCAGATGATGGCTCAAGTACTTGAGTCTCTGCTACCCACCCGGGGGATTGATTGGAGTTCTGGGCTCCTGGCTTTAGGCTGGTATAGCCCTGACAGCTGTGCACAATTGGAGAGTAAACCGGTCATGGGAGAGCACTCTCTGTCTTTTCCCCTCTCTGTGTACTCTGCTTTTCAAATAAAATATATTAAAAAAATCAGAATTAAAGATGGCATTTTAAATAAAAGATTATATTTATTTGTTTGAAAGAGAGAGAGGGAGACACGCAGAGATAGATTTCCATCTGCTGGTTTACTCCCCAGGTTGCTGCAAAGGCCGGGACTGAGCCAGGCTGAAGCCAGGAGCTTCATCTGGGTCTCCCACATGGATGCAGGGGCCCAAATACTTGGGCCATCTTTTGCTGCTTTCCCAGCCATATTATCAGGAAGCTGGATGAGAAGTGGAGTAGCTGGGACATGAATTGGCGCACATGTGGGACGCCAGCATTGCAGGCAATGCCTTTATGCACTATGCCACTATGCTGGTCACACAGATGGCATTCTTTATTGTTTGTATTATCTGGATGATAGGTAGTCTGTGGTTGTTTATGAAATTTTTTGCACTTTTCTGATTATTTTGAACCCTAATAATGGTTTTCATATAAAATATTTTTGTTAAATATGCTGTTTTAGTAGTTTATGAGGTTGCTTGGAAACTTGAGTGAGTGAAAAGTCATGGTATATGGTAGATATTCTTCTTTCTTAACAGAAACAATATAATAAATGTAGTAAGCAATTGTTTGCATTGTATATTTCCTAGTCTTAATATCTAGTGTTTTCTGAAACATTTTCTTTTCCTTTTCCAGACAGCATGCTTTCGTGAAGAAAGGGATGTGTTAGTGAATGGAGACAATAAATGGATTACAACATTACACTATGCTTTCCAGGATGATAATAACTTAGTAAGAATCATTTTAATATGACTTTCTGTCCTTATCAATTTGTTTGCAGAATTTAGCATTATTGTCTCAAAAGCATTGTTTAAATATAGAATTTAAATAGAAAATCACTGTACTGCAGAGGATAAGATGTGATATTTTTCCTTAAGTAATTTGAGATCTCATTGAAGTTTATTTTGTGTGTTTTTATGAGAAAATCAAAACTAAATCCAAACACTTAATATCTGTCAGCTAAATTCTATAGAATGTGTTCAGGGCTTTTTATTTTCAGGATTTCTTCAGTATATTTTATTCATAGCATTCGATTGCTTTTTAGAATGTGAAATATTTTTCAGAGTTGTCATGTACTGTGTTAAATAGAGCCCACATTTAAAACCTATGGCCTATGTTTTCGTATGGTGACATCATAAACTGCTTCATAAAAGTTGGAAAAGAGCATGAGAGGAAATCAAAATATTATTGCTACTGGCAGTTCAAAATAAATAAGAATGATAAGATAAACAAGTGAATAGGAAAAGAATATATCTGCCACACTTGTATACAACTTCTTACCCTATTATTAAACGCTATTCATTGTCTGACCCCAGTTTTTATTTCAGGTTTATGTTTTAGCACATATGTGTTGGGATCCTGCTATGTGCTAGACACTGCACTAAAAACTGAGGTATAAAAATGAATAGGACATTTTCCCTTCATTTGTAAAATGTTTACTGGATATGTGCTATTTGTTAGGTGCTCTTCTCTAGATCCTGGCGATTCGGTGGTGAGTAAGACAGTAGCTCTCTTCTTAATTTTGCATTCTCATAAAGGGAATGAGACAAATTCAGAATCAATTCAGGCTCCATCTGCTTTGCCTGATTAGGCATACATCTCACATTTTCAACTGATGGAAAGCAGCGATCAGAAAAACTAGAACAGTTGAAACTGATGATCTTATAGCTGAATTTCTTCAGAAAAAAAAAATTGAAAAGGAGTCTGCTACTGTAGTAAGTTTCTGAGTAGTTCATTAGTTAGGCTTCAACAGCCAATTACCAATGTTTACTTAATTAAATCATGTTTTATTTTAGCAGCCGAATAAATGTGTCCAGAGAAAATAGACTATTAGCCTTTTGATAGGAACAGTTACTCAAATAATTGAGAATATTAAGAAAAGCATCAGTGATTCATTGTAAAACCAGGGAAATGTGTGGAAATTTGTTTTCTCTCTTATCATATGAAGACGCTTCACAGTTGTTTTGTAGAATTAAAAGACAAATTTATTTTTTGTAAAAATAATTGAAACCATACAAAATTTTTTTCATAATGCCCATTTCCTATGAATCTTTTGAAGAACCCCTCATAAAGTAACTCCTAATGTCTTATATTTTGCTCTGTCCCTTCAAGCCTAAACTATTTGGCCCCTTTGAGAAAAAGTTGTGAATAGCAATGAATAAAAGGAAAAGTGAGAATAATTAAACATTGCATGTTAAATGTCAGAACAAGTATTCTTGAGAAGACAGAAGTAGAGATAGTCAGGAAGAAGAAAATGAATGGAAATGGTCAGAGGCACCATGGAAAATGAAGGAAGGGGTGTTGGTGGAGGGAAATGGTCTATAATATAAAATATGGTATTTGACTTTTTTTTTTAAAGTAAATATCAGAAATACTGTGTGTAACCACAGATCTTGTTTCAGTGCAAGTGGAATACCCTGCATTGTTGAATGTACTCTGTGCTTGGTAACATTTTGCCTTTATTTAAAAAAACAAAACAAAACAAAATAACTTGTTGGTGCTAGCCTTGTGGTGTAGTGCATAACTGCCTGCTGCCTGCATTGCTAGCATCCCATTTGGGTGCTGGTTCATGTCCCAACTGATCCATTTTCAATCCAGCTCCCTGCTAATGGTCTGAGAAAAGCCGTGGAAGATGGCCCAAGTACTTGGGCATCTGCCACCCCGGTGGGAAACCCAGAAGAAACTCCTGGCTCCTGGCTTTGGATTAGCGCAGCCCTGCCTTTGTGGTCACCTGGGGTATTAACCAGCATGCTAATGGATGGAAAATTTCTTTCTTTCTCTGTCTCTACTTCTCTCTCTGTAACTCTGACTTTCAAATAAATAAATAAGCCTTTAAAAATCTTATTTAAATAAGAATATTATAATTATGTAATAATGTTTGTTTAAAAGGCATAGGAACACACACACACACACACACACACACACAGGCAGAGAGAGAGAGGGTGTTCCCATCTGCATTTTACCTCCAAATGCTTGAACTAATTAGGACTGGGTGAGGGCCATTGCTGAGAACTGGGAACTCAATCCAGGTCTCCCATACAGATGGGAACTTACACTGAAAATTGAACACAGGCATGTGATATGAGCCACAAGCATCTAAACTAGTAGGCTAAATGTCTGCCCTCCATTTTGCCATTATTTTTATTGTTCATTTTACTATTTTTTAAAGATTTTTATTTATTTGAGAGGTAGAGTTACAGTCAGTGAGAGGGAGAGACAGAGAGAAAGGTCTTCCTTCCATTGCTTCACTCCCCAAATGGCAGCAACGGCCAGAGCTGCTCCGATGCAAAGCTAGGAGCCAGGTGCTTCTTCCTGGTCTTCCATGTGAGTGCAGGGACCCAAGCACTTGGGCCATCTTCCACTGCTTTCCCAGGCCATAGCAGAGAGCTGGATGGGAAGAGGAGCAGCCAGGACCAGAACTGGCACCCATATGGGATGCCGGCGCCACAGGCAGAAGATTAACCTACTGCCCCATGGCACCGGCCCTGCTTATTTTACTACTAATACCAGTCGCATTTCTCCTTCCTTGTTGCTGTTGGAGTCTGGTTAATTTTTTTAAAGATTTATTTATTTGAAAGAGTTAGAGACAGAGACAGAGAGAGAGAGAGAGGTCTTCCATCGCTGGTTCATTCTCCAGGTGGCCACAATGGTCAGAACTACACCAATCTGAAGCCAGGAGCCAGAAGCTTCTTCTGGGTCTCCCACACCACACATTTGGGCCACTTTCTACTGCTTTCTCAGGCCACAGCAGAGAGCTGGTTTGGAAGTAGAGCAGCCAGGACACGAATCAGTGCCCATGTGGGATTTGGTCCTGTAGGCAGCGGCTTTACCTGCTGCACAACAGCAGCCCGGAAGTCTGGTTAATTCTTTAAAATTGTGTACAGCTTCTGTATCTTGAAATAGTCACTTTCAGAGAATTCTCAGTTGAAATTCATCTATCTTTCTCATCTTATTTTAGCTTTACATACATTTAGTACTGCTGTTGTATGACTAACATATATGTTCATATCTCCAATTTTTTGACATCTTAAGAGGTTTATGTGGCATGAACTCTGCTACCTTTAGCTAAAATAAAATTACATGGTTTATGTAACACTGTAATAGTTGTTGGGGTGGCTGGTGAGGGATGTTTATCACATTTCAGGCCAGATCCAGGTATTCCAACAATGTAATTGTATTACTTGTCTTTATATCACTTACATTCTTGGGGAGTATAATATGTTTATCAAATTGTAGGTTGTAACCCATTAGAGAGTCATAAAATCAATTTAGTGGGTTAAAACAGTGTTTACAAAATTTAAATAGAATAGACAATGATACAATTCATGTTGTTTCATGATGCTTTTTTAATATAAAATTCTAGTCAGAATTGTTTTAAAACTGTAGGCTAGAACTTCACATTAATTGCTCTGTTGTTAAATTGAGTGGAGGAATGTGTGAATTGAAGTTACTCTCTCTATATAAATTATATATGGCGATGTTCATTGGATAACGCAGAGTTTTGTTCCCATGTGAGGTTATTATATCTCCACATCTCCTGTTCCCTAACACCACAATCCAACTGCAAGGATGGTCCATTTTCAACTCATTTTCTTTCGAGGATTTTGTGTGTTCTGTTCCCTTTCCCACTAGCTAAATTTTTTTTAAGATTTATTTAATTATTTGAGAGGTAGAGTTAGAAAGAGAAAGAGACAAAGAGAAAGATCTTCCCTCTGCTGGTTCACTCCCCAAATGGCCACAATGGCCAGAGCTGGGCCATCCTGAAGCCAGGAGTCAGGAGCTGCTTCTCGTCTCCCATGAGGGTGCAGGAAACCAAATATTTGGACGATCTTCCAGTGCTTTCCCAGGCCGTAGCAGAGAGCTGGATTGGAAGAGCAGCAGCTGGACACGAACTGGCACCCATGTGGGATGCTGGCGCCGCAGGTGGAGGCTTAGCCCACTATGCCACAGTGCTGGCTCTGCTAGTAGCAAGTCATTTATTTCTGAGGCCAAGATAGGGGAAGCATATAAGGAGTCAAAGCCAGAACTCATTTTAGCAGGCAAGGAGTCTAGAAATACTTTTTTGTTAATTGTTTTCAGTTCTGTCTCAGGGAGGTTTGTTTACCATGCAAGAGTTTCAGTAAGGCAGATTGAAACATTGAAAGGGAAGCAATCCATGGAATTTTGGTTTTATTAAGAGAAAATATACAGTGGTGTGCAGATGAAGAAAGAAGATACATTATGACAGGAGAAACTTAAGTTTCGAATGATGACTATAGGTGGCAAGAATGTTAAGAAAGAAATATTTTTAGCAGTTCCGTGGTGTCCTCAGATCTTGGGGTCTGGTGTGACAAGAATCGAGTATGGTGTCAGGAGGAAGAAAGTCTTTGATGTAAGAACCTTTCATCTCTATCCTCTGGGTTTTCTTTTCCTCTATATTTGGTAGAAAAAAAAGTCTCAGTTGACACTCAGTAAGTGTATACTGAAGGAATGAGTTACATTTTATGACTTTCTATGTATAAATAATAGATTCCAGCTTTAATACCAGACTTGCTTTTTTACTGTAAAATTTTCTTGCTTGCTTCTGTACTTAGAGTGTTTCTTTTATAGTAAAAGATGTGGGTTTCTTCATAGCCCTTGCTGTTTCTAGTAATATGATTATGTTAATAATATTTGGTTGTATTTCATTAGTTTTTTCTCATCTTCAGAATATAATCTGTTCACCATTAGGACTAATAAATACAGAAAGTAAGCCGTAGACCAGGATTAGTTTCCATAATTTTGAAGGCTTTAAATATGTGATAGTTTCTTTGACATGACATACATTTTCTCAGCTTATAATTTTTTTCAACAATTCATTTATTTAAAGTCAGAGTTACACAGAGAGAGGAAGAAATGGGGGTGGGGAGAGAGAGATCGATCGATTGATCGATTGATCGATCAATCTTCCATCCAGGGCTAGGCCAGGTCAAATCCAGGAACCAGGAGCTTCTTGTAGATCTCCCATGTGGGTGCAGGAACCCGAGCACTAGGGTCATCCTCGGCTGCTTTCTAGGCACATTAACAGGGAGCTGGATGGGAAATGGAGTCTTGAACCAGTGACTATATGGGATGCTGGCATCTGTGCAGGCGCGGCTTTACCCACTGTGCCACAATGCCGGCCCCTATGCTTTTCATTTTAATGCATGGAAATACAATGAATTTGATTTTTTCTCAAGACTCTTTAAATCTTAATGTCATGTCAGTGATAGTCCCTGAAATTGTTTCTCCATTCTGTATTAAAACCACCTTAGCTTCAAGGCATTGAAACTACAATTTAAATATCTTTGTTAGCCTTCATGCTGAATGCTACAGTATGAAGAAAATATTGTAGTTAGATAGATGAGAAAATGAGGTATCAAAGATTTTAAATTTTTTGAAAGATTTTTATGTATTTATTTGAAAGGCAGAGTTACAGAGAGGCAGAGGCGCTGAGAGGGAGAGCGAGAGGGAGAGCGAGACGTATCTTCCATTTGCTTGTTCTCTCCCCAAATGGCCAGAGCTGGGCTGATCTGAAGCCTGGAACCATGAGCATCTTCCCGGTCTCCCATGTGGGTTTGGAGCCCAAGCACTTGGGTTGTCTTTACTGCTTTCCCAGGCCATTAGTAGAGAGCTGGATGGGAAGAGGAGCAGCCAGGACACAAATTGGCTCCCATATGGGTTGCCGGCACTGGAGGTGACAGCTTTACCTAGTGTACCACAGTGCTGGCTCTGGTATTAAAGATTCTAATTTTCAAAACCATGTGTAATATGAACTCAGGGTTTGAATACTGGTTTCTCATACAAAGAACATCATTCTACTATGCCTAATCTTCTTCATCCTAAAATATATACATACACATAATGTATACACTTATGCCCATGTATATGTAACATGTCTATATAGCAGTCTAGAACATGCCATAAAGCTATAACATCATCTGTAATCTTAACCCAGAGAATCCTTGGGAACATTTTGGTATATACTCCTTGCATTTCTTTTTTGACACAAAAACACACATACTCATAAAAGTCTATATCTAAAATTAATTGGCTTCTCTTTTCATTTACTTGAGTGATGTATTTCTGATAGTTGTACACTGTCAGAAATGGGAGAAGAAACATTTATGGTGGGAATTACTACATTCTACCTAATACTGGGTTCCAAAAATAATCCATAAATTGATGATTGTTATAATAAAGTTCTTATTGATCTAAGGTGAAATAAAGACAATGTAGTGATAATTATTATAGTTTTTTTTTTCAGATCAAGGACTGTTGTATATTTGAAGTTTTTCCTTGTTAATTTTTTTTTGTGGAATTCAAGTGTTTGATCTTTGTAATATTGATAAAACTGTGATCCATTATTATACGTGAAGCTGATAAAATTGTTACTTTGTAAATTACAATAATAGAAGAATGTTAATCTTGTGTTGTTCTTTGCCCCATTTTAAAAAATTGTGTGTTACTGCTGTATGAAACGCAGTGGTTCTGTAATGCCTGTTGAGCATCTCACACAGCTTTTTAAAAGACTGTTTATTTGAAAGGCAAAGAAATGGAGATGCCAGAGATTTTCCTCTCCAGAAATGCCTGCAGCAGCATACTTTGTGCAGGCTGAAGCCAGGCACCTGGGACTCCATTAAGGTCTCCCATGGGGGTGGCACAGACCCAGGTACTTGAGCCTTCACTGCTTCCTATGTGGGCATTAGCAGGAGACTAGAGTTGGAAACAGACTCAGTTCTTGAACCCAGTAGTCTGATATGTGACGTAGGCTTCCTAAACACTGAGTCAAAGGCTCACCCCTTACCATTTTGTTAATTAGCTACCTAAGTTATTAACCTCTGTAAGTGTTTGACCTGGTCCTACTTGATTTTAAGTTTTACCATATTATTTATTGAGTGTATTTTATTTTTTCATTTACAGTACCTGGTTATGGATTACTATGTTGGTGGGGATTTGCTAACTTTGCTCAGCAAATTTGAAGATAGATTGCCTGAAGATATGGCTCGATTTTACTTGGCTGAGATGGTGATTGCAATAGACTCAGTTCATCAGCTACATTATGTGCACAGGTGAGTCCCTGTTAGCTTTGCTGGTGACACCATTATCTTGTAATATATGGAAAGAGAGGTCTATTTTTATAAAATGTATTAATTACAGGCTTAGATTTCTCACCAACAAAGATAATTTATGTTGAAAGGGTTTTGATTGTTTTTGCTTTTGTTGTTAAGGTAATTGTTTGTCAGAATTAATGAATTAGTACAACTGCTTCAAAGTACGGATACATGTATAGTATCTAAAAGTTTCCACTTACAATCAGTATTTCTACAGTTTCCATCTTTCTTTGTTTCTTTCTTGATTTGAAAGGCACAGTTACAGAGAGAGAGAGAGAGAGCGAGAGAGCGATCTTCCATCACTTGTTAACCACCTGAATGGCTGTAACAGACAGGGCTGGGCCAGGCTGAAGCCAGGAGCTTCATCCAGGTCTCTCATGTGAGTGCAGGGGCCCAAGAAGTTGGGCCATCCTTTGTTGCTTTCCCAGGCTGTTAGCAAAAAGCTGCATCATAAGTGAGGCAGCTAGGACTTGAGCCAGCTCCCAAATGGGCTAGCAGCAACACAGGTGACAGCTTAACCCACTGTGGAACAGTGGTAGCCCCTTGCCTCTACATTATACTTCTTAAAAATCACTATTATTTAAGTTTATAAATGCTATAGTCCTGCATGGCGTTCTGGGCTCCTGGCTTCAGACTGGCCTCATCTTGGCTGCTGTGGACATTTAGGGAGTGGAACAACAGAAGGTCTTTTTCTGTCTCCTGCGCTCACTCTCTCTGTCACTCTGCCTTTCAAGTAGATGAAAATAATTAAATAAACATTAAAAAACAATTTGCATATGATCCTTCTCAAAAGAGAATGTAGTAGCCAATTTTCTTATAGTCGGATCTTCCATATAGATATCAGGCTGAATTCTAGGCCATAAATCATAGATTCATTTGTTGAATATGGCCCTTATTATTTATTTTTTGCTTCTTAAGAAAATATTTCCAAGAGTTGTATAAATATCACAGAGGTATTTATATGAATGTAGAAAAGTAATCGTTTTGATGATTAAAGAATAATTTTTTTCCTTGTAATCTGGCACAGTAATTCATCTTGAAATTTCCTGTCAAATGTATGTTACATCGTAGACAGTAAATAAAATGTAAAAAGTGAGCTTAGTTACAATATTTTTTTAACAATTTGAGAGGCAGAGAGAAGAGTGTAGAGGAGAGAGAGGAGAGCCTGAGAGAGAGAGACAGAGAGAGAGCAAGCACTCCTTCTGCTGGCTCAACCCTTGTATGCTCACATTAACTTGGACTGGGCTGAGCTGGGCCAGTCAGGGCTGCATACTCAGTTCAGTTCTCCAGTTTGCGTGTCGGGGAACTAACTACTTGAGCTCTTGTCATTGCTAGCTCCTCGAATCCACGTTAGCAGGAAACTGGAGTCAGGAATAGGAGATGAGTATTGAACACAAGCACTTTGGTGTCCTAACTCCTATGCTAACAGGCTAAATGCCTGCCCCCATGAATAATTTTTATGTAGAACTGTTCATATGCATGTTGACATGAGTTAAAATTTGTTATCATATAAATGGATGATAATTTATATGTAATGGAAAGCTTTAAAATGTCTTGGATAGTTTCAGAAGAGAGCAGGACATCATTATAAAGTCATTGGTAAATTAATCATTCAAGTGAGAAAGTATTTGGGTTGTGCAACATACGAGAAGGAGAAAGATGTTGAAAAGTAGGTAAATGGAGACTGGAGTGTAGAAGAAACCAAACCACTTTCTAAGACTAGTATTCAGACCTCATCATGCATCAGATTGATAGGGAGGGCTTGTTAAAGCCTAGATTGTTTGTGGTGCTCCAGAATTGCTGATCCATTAGGTTGCATGGGGAAGGGGAAGTCAGCGTTTCTGACAGGCTCTCAGGCAGTGTTGTTGTGGTTCGTGATGCTGGTGCAGGGGCCACACTTTGGGAACTACTAATCTAAGACAGCAGTGAGTATTACTTTTATGTTCTTAGTGATAAGAGTGAATGTGGCAAGAAGAGAAAGTTTTCTGTTTTTGTGTTTGTAAGATGTTTCTTGTAGTGATTGATGTAATTATTAATAAAATTTTATGGCATCATTAAAGGAAAAAAATCTTAAAATTAAGAATTTGTGATTTGGAATAGGTCTTGTGGCACAGCAAGTTTGTTTTTTTGTTTTGTTTTGTTTTTAACTTGAAAGGCAGAGTTAGAGACAGAGGAAGTGAGAGAGAGAAAGAGAGAGATCTTCCTTTTGCTAGTTTACTCCCCAAATAGCTGCAGTGGCCAGGACTGGGTCAGGCTGAACCCCATCCCAGTCTTCCACAAAGTTGTAGGGGTCCATAGAGCTGGGACATCTTCTGTTGCTTTCCCAAGCACATTAGCAGGGAGCTGTATTGGAAGCAAAGTACTTGAACTGACACCCATGTGGGATACCAGCTGTGCAGGTGGCAGTCTAACCTGCTCTGCCACAATGCCGGCCCCTTGCACAGCAAGTGCAGCTGCTGCTTGGGATGCTCACATCCTATGTTGGGCTGCTGGTTTGTTTGTGGCCTGTTCCATGTAACTTCCTGCTGGTGCATCCTGGGAAGCAGTGGATTATAGCTTGAGTTTTTGGGCCCCCACCACCCATTTGGGAGACCTGGATTGAATTGTACACTCTGGATCTCAGAGTGACCTAGCCCTGACTGTTGTAGGCATTTGGAGAGTGAACCAGTGATGGAAGATGTCTGTCTCTGTTTCTCTTATTGTGCCTTTCAAGTACATGGAAATAAATAAATATTAAAAACTATATTTTATCAGATTTCATTTCGGCTCTTGCCAACTCATGTTTTTCTCGGTTTGTATCAGATAGTTGCAAGTTTTATTCAAAATAAAGACAAGGAATGCTTTGAAAACTATAAAGTAAAAGCAGGTTTGAAGATGATATCATAAATGATCTCAAGAATGAATTATAGGATGAGAAATCAAAGTGCTTTTTGGTTGCTCAGACAGTAATCCAAGATCCTAGTTGAGGACTACCATTTAAAGATATTTATAGTAATATTGTTTTATTGACCATTTGAAGATGTTAGCTATTTAACATTGTGTCATGGAATTTGGAGAGGATTTACCTATTTTCTAAGTTCTTGATAGGAATAATTTTTTAACAAGATTTTACTTATTTATTTGAGAGGTAGAGTTATAGACAGAGAGAGGGAGATATATAAAGAAAGGTCTTCCATCCACTGGTTCACTCCCCAAGTGGCTGCAATGGCCAGAGCTGGGCTGATCTGAGGCCAGGAGCCAGGAGCTTCCCCCCGGTTTCCCACGCAGGTGTAGTGGCCCGATCACTTGGACCATCTTCCACTGCTTTTCCAGGCTTCCAGCAGAGAGCTGGATTGGAAGAGGAGCAGCTGGGACAAGAACCGGCACCCATATGGGATGCCTGTACCACAGACAGAGGCTTAGCCCACTATGCCACAGCACTGGCACCAGCACTAATTATAATTATGTATAATATAGAAATATATAGTTTAGTAATATAGTAAAATATTATTTAAAACATTATTATATACATCAGTGCATCTCAATAATCAATATATAATGTTATGGGTTAATATTGATATTATTGATACATCATACATTAAATATATTACATATAATATGTATTATATAATATATTGCATATTATGTAACATATATATAATTATAAATGTCGTAGTTACTCCTCCAGTTTATGGATACAAAATATGAGGTAGTTATTGTACCTTTCATTCTGCTGGGCTTGTGACAGATATTCTTTCTAAAATATAATATTAAAAAATGTCTTGGAGAGGCAGAGAAAGCGAGCACTCCCTTCTGCAAGTTCATGTTCCAGACGCCCAAAATGGCCAGGGTTGGAGTCAGGATGAATGAATCCCAGTCTCCCATGAAGGTGTCATGGACCTATAATTACTTGAACTATCGTCACTGGTCCTGGGCTCTGTGTTGGTGTAAAGCTGGAATCAGGAGACAGATCTGAGTCTCAAACTCAGGCACTCTGAAGTGGGACATGAGTGTCTTAACTGGTGGGCTAAATGCTTGTCACATGGCCTATTCTTAACCAATCACCCTTTCCTAATGACAGTATCTGCAGTCTTTGATTGTTTTCAACACAGCATTGTAGGTAACAACTATGATATTGTCATGTGACTTGAAAACCATTTCAACCCTGAGCTTTGCTTCAGTATATGGAATTCTAAAAGTGCATTCTCTTAAGTGAATCCTGCTTATGTCAATTGGCTCTTTATTTTATGTAATTTTACTTAGTTATTCATCTTCTAGTTATTATACTTCCTGAAGGCATTTCTTCTTTAGGGTATGCATCTAAATGTTGGTAGTTTCACCGTTTCCAGGATGTACTTGCACATATATGTTTGTCTTTTGTCACATACACATATGCCCCCATATGTTCACTTCATACCTCTTCTCTCACCCTCCTTGCCTTTCTTTTTATACTTCAGTTGATATTCCAGTGCCTTTATAAAATGTGACTCCCATTTCTGGATAGACCATTTTTAGACATGATTTATTCTTATAAATAGCACAGTTGTCTGGAATTCTAAATAAATACTGACCTTTCAAAAAAGATTTATTTTGTTCTAATGAGTTGTGCAGAGGTAGGGAGAGAGAGAGCAGTCTTCCATCTGCTGGTTCACTCCCCAGATGGCTGCAACAGCTGGAGCTGAATGCATCTGAAGCCAGTTGCAAGGAGCTTCTTCCAGTTCTCCAACATGGGTGCAGGGGCCCAAGGACATGGGCCATCTTCTACTGTTTTCCCAGGCCATAGCAGAGAGCGGGATCAGAATCGGAGCAGCTGGAACTCAACTGGCGCCCATTTGGGATGCCGGCACTACAGGTGGCGGCTTTATCCTCTGCACCCCAGCGCTGAGTCCATAGTACTGACTTTTAAGAAGCATTTAGTCTGTTCAGGGACACAAAACCTAAGGTAGAAATTTAAAAAAACACAAGTTAAATATTCATTT